TCGTCTTCTCTGAGATTGTAGCATTTGGAGCACATAATGGGATGCAATGGGCTTTCTCTGGCCATCCTCAGGAGAGATCGTAGAAGGATCCCTCATCTATCCTTTAACATTCTAATAGTATTGTTCCGTAAGAGCTGTGTTCTTTCTTAATAGAAAATAAAGCCAAGACGTTACCTGTGAAGCCACTGAAAACAAGGATTTACAAAGGGCAAAAACTAAAAAGATGAATGGTGTTTTCTTTTTTAACCAGACCTGAAGCAGACTGGGTGTTTCTTAATTACAGGGACGCCTAGCTTTGGGGGCAGAACAGGACTTGAGTAAGTTATAAGGCTACCACTGAGTCTGCAAAACAAGTTGACAGAGGGAGCAGGAAGCTGTCACTCATAGAGATCTGGATGCTATTCCATGAAGTTTCTGATTGATGGAAGTTAAAATTAGGAGAGACACTATGGCAGGAATCTAAAAATTTGTAACTGTAATGGAGACAGAAGACGGACTAGATACACCTGTTGGATAAATAGAGCTGAAAATCATGAGTTTGATGGTGATAGACATGTGGGTAGATAGAGACTTCATTTTAAGTGTTGCACAATAAATGCTCAAATCTGGGTCAAATGGCCTGTGTATTATGTGGAATGTAAAAAGAAAGTTAAGATCTAACCTGTTTTATAGGTGAAATGGCTATATCTCTTAGTCTCAGGTATAAGAAGGATGTGTGGGCTTATGGGAGTTTTGTGCTGACTAAATAACACTGTGGGAAGGATGGAGGCTATAAATGGATCTTCGGAAGTGGGACTAGATTGCTGGTCAGGCCTGGTAAGTGGGGGATCAGAGGAAAAACAGAAAGATTGACGATAAAATGTCTTTACGCACAAGAAATGATTGTGTAATGGAGGGTGAGCTGCAGTTTTTTGGATCACCATTACTAGAGTTCTGGTGTCTCACTATATATAATTATTTTGCTAGAACCAGACATCAGAACTCTGGTAATAGTGATATTACTATTATACATATTTTATATATTATATTTTACACATAATATATTTATA